CATACCGAATCAGACGAATTGATCAAAAAGTGTGCTATCATCAATTGGCGTAATCAAGTTGTCGAGAAGATCAACGAAAATATGTAATCAAAAGCGTGCAGAACAGAGCTCTCACATCGACAACTCGGACAAGAGCTCCAAACAAAATTCGCGCAAAGAAATCGGCGCTAAGTCAGCTATCCTTAAAATCAGGCTTGCATTCATCCCCAGAGCCGTGCCCCACCCAATGCGATGATGTCTCAACACGCATCGTAAGTACACCCGCACCAACGCTCCACAGCACACCGCATAGGTTGTTAGGCAAATGATGCTTCCATGGTTTTTCTCAGGATCAGCCCCGCATCGGCGAGTCAGGTTTCATCTCACAGCAATACAGCAAGCGTATTGCTGTCACAAAACCAGTAACCCAAGACCAGGAATATGGAAGCCTGCATTGAGGAGCGGAGCTCAACTCAATCCACTCGATCTATGGCGCTGCTGTTTTCAAACATACTCAACCAAACTCACCTCAAAGAGACGAGTTAAGGAGCTTGCAGATAGCAGAAGGGTCGAAGCAACGCTACGAGCAGCGCGCATTTAATCCTAGCGCCCATATTCTAGACAATGAAGTGCGGTGCTATCACGAACTGTAGAAGCTGAGCTAACAGGACTGCAACGCTCCGAGTAGCGCGCATTTAAACCCAGCGCCATGCACTCCAACACCAAAAAGCAGCCTCCTCCAAAGCACAAGAGTCTAGCGGACACGTTTAACAAATCCGTGGTGAACCCATAACGTACTTGAGCCAGGACGCTCCACCTCGCGGACAATGTGCGTCATGCCGGCCTTGTAGCCCATGAAAGCTGTGAGGTGTGGAGGCTTCGAAGGGTCATCTTTGGGGAAGGCCTTTACTGAACATAAAGAAAATGCATACAAAATGGAACTCCATGGCATGAGAGTGGCTGAATTTAGTAACACACACTTCCCCGCAAGTGTATGGGCTTCCGGGGATTACCTGTTCACTGGTACTGGAAAGCTACGACGTGCACAGTAGGAAGAAAACTAATGGAAACAGATCTACTGCATTTCACAAAAAGGAAGAAGAACCTATCAACCATCTATCTCCATTGCTGCGAGGATGAGGGGTGGTAATTGTGCTGTAAACTGTGGGCTCTCTGCGATTGAAGAATCAGCCAATAAGACTGCAACATGTAAAGTGCAGCACTTAGAAATTGTGGAGCTTTGGTAATCAGTCCAGCCGAAAGCCTGATCCTACTACCTACCTTTTCCCCTATGCCGGCGGCAGCGCTTCCGGGGGCAGAAGCCCAGAGAGCCGTGGCGCGGCCTTTCGAACTTCCTGTGGGACATCTTTGAGTAAAAATGAAAAAGGATCCTACAGAATTCCACAGGAGTCAACCCTAAACTCTTCTTTCTCCTTTCCCCCACACGGCTTTCTAGGTTGATGGTAGCTGGGGGTGCGCCTGCCTCAGCCGCAGCCATTGCAACCCACAGCCTCTGGCTGCGACGCTCTGGGCCTGTTGGTAAGCTACGCATGCGCGCAGCTTGCTAGAGAAATGAAGGGAAAAGGTATGTAATTTCTGGTTCTTTACTTTCTCAGAGAATTTCACAGCATCTTTAGGAAGTGTTTGTGATTTAAGGCTCGGTATGGAAGCCCCGCAGTGTAATAGACAGCACTAGATACGCGTCGTGTACACCTAGATGCACTTGGAAGCTCTTGCAGAAGATAGCCATTGCCAGGATCTTTAGATTGCCTTTTTGAACGATAATAGGTTTAGGAGAGCTTTTGCTCTGGATCTAGGGACAAGGTCATGAAACGATTGACTTGAAAACATCAAGCCGCAGGTGTGTAGGGGTGGGATCATCCGCGCCAAGCAGTGATCGGCTTGAATTTTACAGATAAATCCTTTTTTTTGAAGTGAGTAACGAACGGAACAGCTGGGGCTTTTCCCCCGCAAGTCATGGTAATGGCGCCCTGGCGTACCCAATTGCTGGCTGCCAAGGAAAAGCCTCTTAGGGCCTGTTGTGTGCATAAGCTAATTACGAAGTTAGTGACTAAGATGTATACAGGAAAAAGCATAGCAACTTATACAATGCAAGCTCACAGGGCCTAACTGACACCAAAGCGAATAAGATACTCCGAAATTAAGCCTCTAAACTCCTGAACGGCTGGGGGCGTCCACCCCGCCCTGCAAGCAACCTTTTGACGAGCTACGGTAGTACTACACCACTGAAGAGCTTCAAAAGTATGAAGAAGGCTGGTTTGGTAGGGAATTGCTTCCCAGCTAACTTCAAAGTATGCGGAAGCGATCCATATGAGTAAACAGGCAATTTGTGAAGGGCGCTGGATGCGTGGCCGTAGCCGTCGTCAAGTGAGGCTCCCAAAACCCCGTATATTCGTCTGGAAGAAGTTTACATTAAAAGTGTACAAAGGATGGTGCCAAAGCGCGGGAAAAGTAGAGCAAGAGCACCATTGTTGCATATTTGTCGTACGAGAGGTCCTGTTTCGCTTTACTTCCTCAACTCGCTCAGGCAATAACTTTCCTTCGTGCTGCATTCTTTTTGGGGCACCCTTTTACTCATCTCAAGAACTGGAGTTCCTACAGGAAGCGCTTAGCTTATCCGTAGTTAAGACCCACGTTGACGTTTGTGTTGTCCACGGTCTCATACTATAGTCGCAGCACCGCAGTCTCTATACGCTTGCCCCATAACTTCAAAATCTCGTAAGCGGTGAAAAGCACCTACATATATTAACTGCAGCCAGTAGAATGCTAAGGATCACGGAGGTGGCTGCACGCGAAACTATTATATAATACCAACCAACTCACTGCTTGACGTGATAATAGGGTTCAGCTAAGCGGTCATAGGAATAACGGGTGTGGCTGCACGCGAAGCTAATATCTAATACTAACCACCTCACTGTTTGCTGTGATGGTAGGGTTCAGCTAAGCGCTCATAGGAACAGGACATTGACACAGCTACATATAACAAGGTGAAACGCAGAAGACTTAGTGTATGCTTGGTGGGAAAAGGTTCCGGAAAGCTTCAGAGACGAGCGCATTAAGCATGAGAACAGAAGGGGGGGGCTAATATCGTCTGCGACGCAGCGCCATAAAGGGACTCAGAGATTTCTCCTTACCGAGCTACAGTCGCGGGAGTGGTGGGTCACACTTTGAGAAACTTGGAAAATATCAGGGCACAACTACTTTGATAATGTTCCAGTGCGCTTGGTTAAGTTTGCTGCTGAGCCAGACCTTACCGCCCACACCGCACTCCAGTCCGTGCCTTTTGGAGTCTGCGTATGTCTTGTGCTTATATACTTGAGATATAATTGTGTGCATTGTGCGCACGGCCACGGAGCTGCCGAAGTAGTTTAGTCATAAGAGGGGTTGTGGATGCCAAACGACAGTCATTCTTGAGATCAACACTCGTGAGACTGCTTTGTAGAATCATGACTTGAAGCGGAAACATTCAGCGAAAGCGTAGTATTTACAAACTTCTACTAGAAAAGCCATATTGACGGCCAGTACGGGCGGGGAAGCAACGCCTCCCGCCCCGCTTCGGCCCCGCTTCTCCTACTGAATGTACGACCAAGGCATCTGCACCGAAATACAAATTATTCAGTTTGACTGTCTGTCTGTAGGTAGTTAGTAGACCACCTGCCCCGCATGATGTTGAACTGTGTACACAACTGCTAGTACAGCATACAGTAGTACTGAGGGGCATTGCCAAACCGCCTCATGGTCAATCCCTGTGCAGAATTTACACTTTAACCTGATTAAGTATTACATCAGAAACTTGGTTAGTCTCCTGTACGTGGGTTGCCTGCTTAATAGTAGTACCCCACACCTGGGATCGCTAGTGTGTCACAGTTCTAGTGAGATGCAAGTGAGATGCGTCAGAAATGGTTGAGCACAAAAGACTCACGAACTCCTATGCTGAATTATAAGTGGAGACCAGCTCTCCAATTATGGTTTTTGCACTCTGGCTTAAGTGGAACCCATCGATTGTCCAATCGCAATGTACCAAGATGGACAGAGAAGAACCTCTCAATTGCCCAATATTCGCCACAGTATTTCGGCCTTCCTGGGGATAAGCCGCCTTTTATAAGGTATACACTTAAACTTTTGTCGAAAATAACGCCATGGCGCACTGAATCACAGTGCAACGATGACAGCACTGGAGACTCCCAGGCTCATCGTTGTTGCGGTGCCGAAACTTCATCAGCCCCATAACGTATCTGCGCCCGAATTGCCCGATATACTTCATATTCAGTTCTTTAAATTGTTTATGTAGCTGAAGATGGACCTCCAGCAGCCGCGTGTTCCAGTGGTGACTGTAGGGTTCGTGCAGGGCGCTTCGGGCGCCTTCCTGTTTCCTTAAGGCAGCAAACAACATATCGCAGCGTTTCAAAAGTAATCAAGGACTGACATCACATTTTTCTTATCTTGGTGCTCAAAAAATTCGGCACAAATCAACAGGTCGAAGGACTGACACTGTTTCCCCACAAATGGGCATTTCATGGTTACGTCGATACAGCAACTTCACGCGACAGGACAAATTGCCCCTAAGCAAACTGTCGACCTAACCGCGCTCCTTTGCGCCAAGTTCCTGCTGTGAATAAAAGTGGGTTCTATTGGACTCTCCTCGTGCCATTCTAAGCCTTAAATAGACACTGAGCATATCAACGGGACTGGACCTCTCTGGTCTTCTGTCAGCAAGAATGCTCAACTTACAGCTGGTAAACAAGCTTCTGAGTCCAGGGGGTGTTCTAGATGTTCAGTAGGCATTAGCGTTTTTTCGGTGGGCACTTTTCCTTCCCCCATTTCGTGGAACTGGGGCGACGGCGCCCGTTAAGGATTTTGTAGAGAAATCTACCTAAAAGTGCTTCTCCATGAAATGCCATTACGACGGAAAGTTTGAATTTACATTTGCGCTCGATTTCACCCAATCCGAATTCACGTATCAGAGGTGGAGACGCGGATGAAGTTCTTAGGTTGCTGCCATGGAGGCAAATCGGAGTCATACTGCCCACGACGAGCAACGAGCCTTATCGGATGAAAATAATCTTCAACAGAGCTTCACAGCTCGAGAATTGGCCAGAGATGAGGGTCCCATAGGGTTTTACTTGCTTCATCGGCAAGCTAGGAAAAAGCCATCGGCTCCGTCAGCTTCCCTTCTGTTGGCAGTGACACTAGCATCCTTAGCAACGACATACGTTCTGATTCGCTGCTTTTATGCCATTGCGTATATTGAGCGGCATGGTGCTACACATAGGCTTTTGGCCAGCGGCGGCTTTTATCTGGACCACTCTTGTTTCGGGGAAGGAAACCAGGATGGAGAAGAGGAGGAATCGTATGCGCTGCAAGCTGAACATGGGGGAGCTTTCGTTTCGTCGGAAGGGGATGCATCACCAACAGCACCTCCACGGATACGGAATGATGATGACTTGGACAAGTGGGGAAATCGGCAGTTGCCTGAAGACGTACGAGACAGATTTTCATCCTTTCTCGAGCGCATCGAGCACAGTGCTGTCCTCTGTGAGGCACTGCTGCCATTGCTCAAACCTCAACACGCTATTCAAATTACAAATATAATGTTGAGGATTCTAGTGGCTCAGCTTGGTGTCCTCTCGCTGAATCCGCCGGAATTAGAGCCTCGAAGGGCACGGGCAGGTGGGAGACTGCTACTTTTGGCATATAAAGGCAGAGAACGGTCTGGCTCTTACCCTTATCTAGAATTTTTTGTGAATGAAAACAATTGGCTGCGGAATCTAGCTGAGGCAGTGTCAATGCCTCGCGAAGACGCCATGGAAATGGCCCCGCATCATCATAAAAAGAGGGTTACCGGGGTCCTTCGAGAGATTTCGATTATAAACGTTTACATCGTGGCTGTCTTGGGTGGTTTAGAGCGTATGGGCCGAAAATCTGTAGGATACTTGGAAGATGCCGCTGTAGAAACGCAACTGCGCGTATTGGAGGCTCTTCAGGGTGTGCAGCTTCGTCGCTTCTTGACTGACAAAACGACTCACTGGTTTCTTCGGTACTGTCAAATGAGAACCAATAATTACATACTTTTCACGCGAGAGCAACAACAGTATTACGGGTCAAAAACTTATACGTCCATGAAAGAGTTTCAAAAGGAACTAGAACAGAAGGTACAAGAGGCTGGAGGTCTCCCTTGGAACCCAGATTGCAAGGAAGTAGACCTACGCTGGGGCAGGTCAAGGTATAGAAGAAGGCAGCACCTAGAGACACCAGGTTCCAGTTCGCATTTTGAGGTGCCGCAGGGCACAAGTGGTTTCCCGTCAGGCCCCTCTCCAAGTCTTGGCGACTGCGGAAGTACTACTAATGGAAGCAGTCAACAGCATTTAGCCACCTCTGTCGACCATCTCGTCGGCGCACTTGGGTTTGAGGAGGCCAGCCTAGTTTTCGGAAAGTCTCCTGGTTCTCGTTTTGGAGCTAAGCAGCAACAGAGGGAGCATGGTACTACACAGCCACTTGCGCAAGCAACACCTTGGTCGGCAAGCGGGCCACATCACGCGGAGCCACGCGGTTCTTCCAACTTAATGCTCGGAGGTCTTTTAGGGCAGCACAGAGTGGAGACTAGTTCAGGTCCTCATACGCTTCCCCACCCTGGCTCTCGTAATGCACCACTCGCTCAAAGCTTTATGCAGCCAACTGCGAACCAAGGTTCACGGCTACGTACTTCGACGCCAGGACTTCCGATCTTATCTTCTTCAGCGCTTCCAGGTGGAGAACGCAGAAGGACTGGTGCCCCTAACAGCATGCTTTCCCAGACAGCTGCTTTTTCAGGTTTTGGACTTCAGCGAAGTTTTGGGAGCGACACGGCGTTGGCGTTGCAGGCGACGCCAACAGGTCGAAGCCCACTTTTGCCAGCTACTCTGGTCCGTGGCTCTTTTCCCGAAGAACCAAATTTCCAATGGATGTTAACACATCCACCTTCAGCCCCTCGAAGCACGCTGCCTCGAGCGCAACATGGATTCTCTGACACAGCTGCACAACTGTCGTACGCTGAGACGACTCTGCCACCAAGCACAGCACAAGTTCCCCGAATAAGGGGAAATTCACGTCTGGACCAATGGATCTCTGGAACTGGCGATCATAGGAGAACCGGCACTTCTTTACCGTGGGCGTCAATGAGAGAGCCTTCAGCTCCTTCAAGCATGCTGCCTGCAGGTGGACATGGATTATCTTCACTACACGTGGCCGCGCAGACAACTCTGTCTAGCACAGCAGCAATGCTTCAGGGAAGGGGAAAAGTCGGCCAAACGCATCATGAGCGCTCAACTACGGTTCCAGGGAAGTCAGCGACAGTGTTGGGAGGTGCTTTTGGCCCTGGGGGCCTCCAGAGACTTCAACTGCAGACAGGAAGTAGGATTCCGCCTCCCTATCGTCCGTGGTCTACAGCGGACTCCGAAACGGCTTCCGCATATCCTTTGCTTCACTCACCTTTCCCCACACAAGGGCAACGACGTTCATCTGGACCCATGATGTCACAAGTGGTAGGTCAGGAGCGTGGTGGTAGTTGCTCTCCATTCGCAACGCAGGCAGCAATAATGCAGAGTAACACATCATCTGGTAGGTCGCTGCCGGAAGTGAGTAGCAGCGTGGATGTCAACAGCATGTCTGGCAGAGCTGGTGAAAGTGAAATTCGTAGCTGGCTGCCGCCTACGACAGTAGGTAGGCTTGGCGGTCAGCCCACGCAGCAACCGCCTCAGAATCAGGGACAAGAAGAAGACGAGGCGGCTCTCAACGAACTTTTAGCGGCTATTCGGGACTTTGGATTCGTAGATTCTGGCGCCGAAGGGCCATTGGAGGACAGCTAAGCGTTTGGCTGCGTTGCACCAAAACTCAGTACGAACGTCATTGGTTGCTCAGTGGAACAAATGGATGAAAGCTGTCTTGTTACACGCTAGAATGCCTGCGTGTTTCGCGCGTCGGCAGAGTTCAAAGCATGACATGCGGAAGCCGTGTATGTGGGTCCAATGCATGCAAAAGCAGCGGATTCGTGGCTGGCGGTGCTTCGGCCCTCCGTGCGCATAGCCTCTTTTCTGTGGTACCTGGTACAAATGCATGTGATCGCCGACAGACCAGACCACCTAGTAACACCATGTGATTTTTCGTATCGAAGACTCTCGCTGCCCGGTTCTACCATGTGCCGTCGTGTTTTGGTCAGCGTGACGTCTTCAATATGGAGACAGTCTTGAGAGCTAGGTTTTGTGACTCCTCTGCAGTTGCTGCTGCGTTAGCCTCTAACTTGGCTTATAGCATGTGCGCTTGGTAGCAAGGTGAAGCTCATGTCAGTTCTCTGGTGCAGCGAGAATTGATATGAGCTTAATCTTGCTACCAAGAGTTATATATCCACCCCTTACAGCGCGCACCTTCACAGTGTTACTTTGCAGCAAGGGTATCTAGTAATCACTTCTAAGCGGCATCTGGGCTTACTGTTCCATGAGATTCTACAGGTGAGAACGAGGAGATATGCGATGAGCAACCAGAGCATTAGCTTTCAATGCAGTGGCGCACTGTTGTATTATAGCTGTTTCTATTCTGGTTCTATCTTTAGAAGACTATGCGCCTTGAAACGAAGCGAAGAAGCATAAACAAAGGCATCCGAATCCGTCTCCTGAAGGAAAAGTGGCGTATTCGCGGATTTTCCATTCAAACCCCCATCCCTGGAAGTGAGAGCTTCGGCGCAACTCTGAGAAGAATCCCGCTACGAGCAGTGGTCCCGAGTATGGATGAAAAGCATTGGGGAGTCGGGTGACTTATACCGGATGCGCTCTAGGTTCTTGTGTAATACCAATCGGCAACTGTGGTGTCCTGTTGCAGTTATTTTCGTCGCTTTCTCGTGCACTATGAAGGGGAACCATACGGCTGTGGAAGTTCACCAAGTATTCTGCGGGCTTTTTGCTGCGTGTTCTGTTTACTGAAACCCCTCAAGTGTCGAATCAGCCGCTTGTAGCAAGTCGCCTCTACTAGCATCTCCGACAGTTCCCTACAGTTAGCCTTGACCATGACAATTTCGTGACTTTCCCGCTCAGCAACGTAATCCCTGTTGCGGCCCACTTTGCCGCAGCTCTTTCGGCACCAAAGCAAATAATTACTTACCTTGCAACATGCGCCACTAAATTATCCATGGCCAGAAACGGGCTGTCAGTTCTGTTCACGGAGCGCACGCAGATGATCACCCTGGATGCCAAGAAATACGGGAGCGCCCTATGCCATCGATTTGCCGATGGATGGGACCGGCCCATAGGTCCTGTGCCCTGCATCAGCGTGCCGCGAAGACGGTTCTCCCGCCGCAAGTGTGCGTCTTGCCTTCTCAAGAGGTCTGAAGGCGTCAAAGGCTCACTCTCACCTCAACCTACTGCGCCACACACTTCATGCATTATTTTGCTCTCCTTTCCACAGCGAGTCCCGAAAGCGCTAGCTGTGATTCTCAGTTTTGCACTACGCGGCATACGAAGCGCGTCAGACCCCTTGGCAGCTTTGAGATCTTCATTGTCATCTCTCCTTCTTCGGGAAGGTGAACAATTCTCAGGCCTAAAAAGGCCTCCACTGCGTTCCCATGCTGTAGGCTCAACTTTTTAACAGTTCCGTATCTACATGGCCCAACAAAGAGAGCGCTGACACATTGCAAAATCAGGGTCAACCTGCCACGCACGCATTCCCACGTTCCCACCAACGGAACCGGGAACCGGGAACCACACACAATTCAAACAGAGACAAAGTCGCATGTGTGTCTTCAGAAGAAAGCGCATGCTCTTAAACATTGAACCCAGCAAACTGCCAGTTGAGTATCGAGACTACATTTTCTGCATGCAGAACTCGTAGCAGGCGGGTTTTCGTACCCCGATTTGGATTTGCGGGTCATCCCGTTAAATGGATATTTAATTGAATGACATACAATCCTATTTTTATTTTGCTTTTAGGGGCCGTGTTCTTTAGAGAGACCTGCAAGCTTGCAGACGCTATCCAGTTCGCCCCACTGCCTTCTACGCTCAGCGGGCTCTCCACACCAGTGTAACCTCCAGAGGACCTTGGCTTTCAGGATAATGAATTAAATGTATAATCTGGAAGGTGTGAGGACCTTCTGACCGGTTCCGGATCCCATGATTATCGTGAGCGGAGCGCTACAAGCAGCGCTTGTTGTTGGGTTTTGCGCCCTTTGCAGGGCTAGTCTTCCCACTGGTACTCCCTCGCACCGCTTCTATTGATGAACGGAGAGCGACCGAGTCAAGATGGCCTCCATACAGGCAACTAAACGACGGAGGGCACCCGACGGGGCGAATGGCGCAGCACCGGTAGAATCGGACCAAAGAGCTGGACACAGTCATGAGGCTAGGGATAGACTATTGAACCCTCTATCTCCTCTGCCTAGCCCTCATTTCAATGCGGCATTGCAGCAATGCGTATATCCTCACATCCTCTCATACAACACGTTTGCGGATTGTTATGTGGAGGAAATGGTTAAGGAGCTGCCATTTATCTATGTCGATCCAAACTACGACCCTGACCGCCACGAAGCCAACCCATATTACAAACCTTCTGACTGTATGCATCTGAAGAAGCACCGAGTCTGCGAGACTATTCATACATGCTTGAGCGAGCACGCTGTGTAGATCTTCCAGTTCAAATAGAGTGCCATCATTTCCATCTTTGTTTAACGGAACTTTCTGTGATTCTCTGATTTTTGAGCAGACCTCAAGTTGGGGATTGCAGAGGCCGTTTTAGGCTTTCCTCAGAAACTGGGTGTGGGGGGCTTGCAGGCAAAATCAGACGCCGGCAGTAGGTTGCTTCCCCGTCACTGCAGAGACTCGCACATCTCCTACGGTGCTCCGTTACATGTCAGCTTCGTTTGCTACCGCACTGGAGATGAAAGCAATGCTGCCATCAAGAAAACAATGGTGGTTGGCCAGGTGCCGGTCATGGTGAAAAGCAACCGATGCACTTTGTCAGGTCAGCCGAAACGGTGTATGGAGAAAATCTGCAGTGTTTCCCTTGCCCATAGCAGTTGACTCGCCGGTTAAAATGGGTGTGAAAGACGCCTCAACATGTGGAAAAGCACTACATAGAGACTTGCACTCTGGCATAGGACTTCCTTTCCTGGACCAGACGTCTCAAACAAACAGACACAGGGGACGTGCTTTTTGGCGATCGGCTGTTTTAGGGATGAGCCCTACTGAGATGGTGAACGCTGGAGAAGACTTGGATGAATTGGGTGGCTATTTCATAATAAACGGCAATGAGCGCGTGCTGCGCTTCGTCATTCAGCAGAAGACCAACTATCCCATTGCTCTCAAGAGAGAGAGCTTTAGGAATCGGGAGATATTTGCCACGGATCTTGCAGTTCTCCTGAGAAGTCAGAGGTGAGACACGGGAAGTTGTTCTTGTGTACTGAACCGGCACTGCGTTTGGAGTGTGACTACCGCAAGGCGCAGGTTGGCTGGGACTGATGAATTGGTGAATTGATGATGATCGAATCCTATTAGGTGTTGAGATCATGTGCTTATGGAATCGCGCTGCCTTTAATTTCGACAGAATTGATGGGACATGCACGTCCAACATATTGCTCGACACCGAGGATGGGAGATGCTGTTATCGCATTCTACTCAATCGGCAAGAGCACTTCTGTCCGTTCCCCTTGCTGCTGCGTTGCATTGGCGGAGGGCTTTCACTTCAGCAGTTTAAACTCAAATTTATGGAAGGGACTTGGGGCGATCTAGAGGAGTCCACTCAACTGCACGCGCTTTTTGAAGAAGTTTGGGGGAACGAAAAGGATTTTGTTGATACCGACCTGAGAGAACACAGGGTAGGCTTCGGTGCGGATCGTGTGCTAATTTCACATAATACACACCTGTATTACCTGCGGTAGATGCTCACTGCCTGATTTCCACTCTACGTTTTTTTTACCGGCATGTGCAGCCCTTGCACCAGCTCGGCCAAGTGTTCTGGAGGGGTGTGTCTTGGTTGCTACCGCCTGGAAGCACATTCGAAGATGCAGGAAGGTTCATAATCGATCGTTACGTTCTTGTCCATGTAAAAGAATGGAGTAGCAAATTCGAAACTCTCCTATTAATGTTTCGGAAGCTTCGTCAGCTGCGAAGGGGGAAGATACCGGTAAAGTTGCGCTCTGCCTGCGGACTTTTAATGAACATATGACAACTGCATGTTTTTATTGGCTGGGCTAAGGCTAGCTACGTGTTCTCAGATTTTCTCATGTAATGTACCGTGGTGTATGCAGCCCGAGAGCATGGATGCTTTCTCGTACCAGGAAGTGATTCTTCCAGGGCAAATCCTCGCAGCGGTACTAAAAGATGCTCTTTTTAATTCTCTGATCAAACTTCGGACACAGTACATGGTGGTACGTGGCGCCACAGAGAAATTTTTCTTTCCACATGGTATCACAGGTTGCCGAATAGTGATGCTAGGTGTCCCCTATGCACCTTTGAGAAGGTTCACGGTTTTGGGATACTGGATGCCCATGGTATCCTATCTTTATTTATCAGGAACTACGCCAAGTTAAGACAGCAGGCCACGACCCTACTCTGGTTATAGCGTCCAATAAATTTTTCGACGCGGCGACCGACCGCTGTGCGTCCGAGATTGGCCACAAGATAAGCTATTTCATGGCCACGGGCAACATTCGGACGACCCAACTGGATCTCCAACAGGTAGCAACAGTCCATTGATGATGACAGCTGCTCCATCATTGCCAAGGTGGTTCAGCATTCTCGTCGTTCTCGTGGTCTCGATTGCTTGTGGTCTCTACACTCTATGTAGCAAACGTGTCTGTGTATGCGATGTGGCCTCTTGAAAGCTTTCAGGATGGACTGTGACGGCAGATCGTCTGAATCTGAATCGTTTCCTTAGCCATTTCAGAGCAGTGCACCGAGGCCAGTTCTTTGCACAGATGAAGACGACTGCTGTGAGTGCTCCGTTTCCCTCCCACTAGGTTCCTTTTCATTCCGAGTGACGTTTTTTAGTGCTTCATTCCGTAATTTTGTCATTTTCAGTGACGGGGCCTCTACAGACTGATGCTTCTCTGTGCTCCTTCATGCGAGGTATGCGTTCAGGTCCGCAAGCTTTTAGGGGAAAGTTGGGGCTTTTTGTGTCCCGTTCATACTCCCGATGGTGCCCCATGTGGTCTCCTATTGCATTTATCCCAGATGGCCCAGCCAGTAGCGGTGCCACCAGACAGGGGGGTAAGAGTAAACAACTGGCAATGACGGTTTGAGTGGCAGCATTAAGAATGCATCGAATACGGCTCCGTTGAGTTCAGTGCAGTGCAATCATGCTGAACTTTTCAGCTGTGCATGTACGGCGTTGACTTTCTTTGAGGCGCACTTGCTTTGCTCTGACTTGGCGGGCGCAGGCAATAGCAGCGGTTCGATTGTTTATGAAAGCCCGCGGGGCATGTGTAGACCTTGACGGCGTCTCGGGATTGCCTCCCTCTGATCTTGGCGCTGCTTGTGGAGGGCAGGCTGCAAGTCATAGCGAAGGCGGAGGCATCAACTGCGTGCCGCTTGTGGTGGATGGAGTAGTCGTGTGCAAAATACGAAAGGCAGAGTTCAGTTTTTGGATGGAACAGTTGCGTCACGCAAAGGGATGTGGCTTGGATGGATTCAAGACTCACTGGGAGCTAGTTGGATTTGATGAGGATAGGCAAGCAGTCTGACTCCGTCGTGCCCTCCTCTGTTGCTTTCCAGCCAACACAAACAAGTGCCGCCACATTCACAACTGGGTTGTAGAACAGCCAGACAACGGTGAGGTGGTACTTTTCGTTAGGCCCAGGGAGTGCGTGGTTGTCATGATGCGCGCTTTTCATCACTGGGCCTTTTTTGTGCAGTAACCAGTTTGAAGGTATTTTCATGTTTACCATGCCAGGCCGGCTTGTCCGACCAGTCAAGCACTTGGCTAGCGGGCGGTAAGCGAAAACGCAGCTCCAATGCTCGAGCAACAGCTGTAGTAGTTGGCAGCCATGATGCAACCGTGCCACAGGCATGTCAAGGATGATGGCATGTTTCTGACGCAGCTTGGAATTTATAGGGCCACTACAGCAACCGTGGATGTCCATCGCTTGCCGTGAAAGGAACGTGTTGCTTAACGAACGCTCTATGACGGCGCACCAGCCATTAATTGAGAAAATTCTACGAGACCAAATCGCGGAAGTGGATAATACAGAAGTGTGTATCATATCTTATGATGTCGCGTTGCTTCCATAGACCTTCATCCGTGCCAACGTTGATATGCTACAATGCGTCCAGCCGTCCTCAGTCGTACGCCACCTTGTAAGGCATCTCGATATTCTTGAAACAATGGGAATTCTTTTTGCCTTCTCTCCACATTGCAGGACACGGTTGTCCAAGACAATCAGGGAAGGCTGGAGAGTGACTACCAATCATTGTTCAATGGTCAGTGTGACAGTTCAACTCCTAATTGTGGCCGCATGGACGTGCGTGGTTTCCAAGAGGTTCGCGATGCCCTCGTCACTAGCCATGTCCCTGTGCGCTACGATTACGTCGAGCTGAGCCCAACAGCTTTCCTCAGTGTTACTGCGGCGCTCACACCATTCAGCAACCACAACCAAAGCCCAAGGTACGAGAATTTGCCGTCCAAGAAACCAATGGGCATTCAGTTTGGTCACATCCTCTCTGCATGCTCTGAGTTGAAATGCAGCGCGGAAGGAGCAGGATGCGCTTGTGTCCGTTATTTAGCAGAGACGCAGTGCATATGCATGCAAGCATACGTATGTAAAGCGCTGCTGGTTACTCCTGCTCAGGAATATATACCAATGCCAAATGCTTAAGCAGACCATGGGCACGCCGTTCCACTCGATCCCGTATAGGCATGACAACAAGGCTTACCGCCTCATCACTCCACAAAAGCCTCTTTTGCGGACGCGTGATTACCGCCACATTGACTTCGATGATTATCCTACTGGAGTCAATGCTGTGGTTGCCGTCATGTGCTACACAGGGTACTGCAGCGGCATTCTGCTACTGCATTGTTTTTGTCTCCCAATGAATGGTAGACTTAACGAGCACGCCAAGAGAGGCGAGAACGCAAAGTTTCTGTAGAGACGCGCCTCGTACTTTTAACCCCGTGTCATGCTGTTACGTGCCTGCATTTGCAAAATGCGTGTTGCATGGATGCTTTCTGTGCAGCTTTGACATGGAAGATGCCATGATTCTCAACAAGTCTTCCGTCGAACGTGGCTTATTCCACGGCTGTGTGTACAAAACCAAAATAATCGATGCCGCCCCAAGTGGCTCACGCGCAGTGAGTTCTCCTGGTTACTAAAAGAATCATTGCTGTTGGCGAACACAGATGCTTCCAGCAGACTTGGTCACACCATGACGGTAGTGCTCAGGAAACTCATTGTTCTGCCAATTTCGCTGGTAAGCGGTGGTGTGCTGTGCCTTTCCAGCAAGATGCGGAGGAGTACCAGTTTACAAATACGAGCAAGCTTGGTCGCAAATGCATTCCGTCGCTTGACGCAGATGGCTTCCCGACCATCGGTGCAAAGATAACTCAGGGGAAAACACTGTGCAGGTACGCAATGGGCTGAACACATCTTGATATAGATCGCATACACTTTCTAGCGTCTGACGCTGCATGTTATTTATGCTTGGTATTTATGATGCCAACTCGGAAGTGTATTTATTGTGTACTTGTGGAATGTGGCGTTTTCAAGAGTGCAGAGACACACGCATTCAACAGCAGTTCAGGCACCGGCTCTGCAGACTACTTACAAGGACGACGAACCGGCATATGTGGATGGCATTACTCTGACATCGGCCCCAGCACCGGCGGAAGAGCGTTTCCTAAAGACAGGTCTCAAGGGCTGCAGAGCGTCGCTCCGCCTGCGCAGTGTCCGAAAACCAATCATTGGCGACAAGTTTGCATCAAGGCATGGGCAGAAAGGCATTTTATCCATGCTCTGGCCACACGAAGATATGCCCTTCTCAGTAATGCTCCACAGCGCAAATTACTAGGAGCAGCCTGGCAGACGCTGTTTAGAAGTGTTGAAGGCGGGCAAGCATTATTCATGTTTGACATCTTGTTTGTGTGCTTGCATGCCTCCGTTACACTCTTGTCATCATTCAGGAATCAGGGATAGTGCCGGATATTTTGTTCAACCCGCATGGCTTCCCAAGCCGAATGACAATAGGAATGCTTATTGAAAGCATGGCTGGCAAGGCAGCGGCAGTTCATGGGGCCTTTCAAGTGCGCATTGATTTATGTTTTGTGACCTGGAACGAAATGGCCGCTGTTTGATTCAATTGTGTGCGCTCATCAGAATAGAAAGAGCGTCTGTTGTTGGTTAAGCACCCAGCTGTGGTTCCACTGCATCCCACGGGACGAGCTTCGATTTACACAATTGTTTGGGTTTTGGGGATGATTAATGGCTTCTCAGGATGCAACAGCCTTTCGAGAATTCAGGAAACAGGAGAAAACAGGAGCTCGCTGGATAGATCAGGAAGGGCACCATGGTCAGCAGGACTAGACGGCGTTGCAGTCAAGCTTCTGCAAGAACTTAAGTTCCTGACTGATACCCGATGATGAGAAGTGCAATCGTGTCCTTTTATGCAGGGTACGTTTTACGTGGGGGACGCTACCGGACACCCGAGGAGGAGGTTAAAGCACAAGAACAAGGCGACACCCCGGTAGATTACTTTGGAAAGGCGCTTCTGGCCTCAGGTGAAGTGATGGCTTCTTCGCCGCAGCAGGCACACTTCGAATAATCAGCGCCTTACATGCTTGTGTTTGAGAAGTGTGGACATCTACAGTCGACCACTCACGTCAGAGTTCAGCTGTTCTCATTGTTCGTGATTGTTTACAGCTTTGCCCAGCCACTGTGCTTGCTTCCTGCATGCTTTAGGCTACCAGTATTATGGCAAGGAAGAGCTGTACAGCGGCGTTTACGGGATGCCGCTCACCTGTCATATTTTTACGGGTCTTATTTATTACCAGCGCCTAAGGCACATGGTATGAAATTTAGCCCATGGCTTTACGGGCAGTTGTAACTTTTAATGGCAAGCACCTTGAATTTCATGATGCTGAGAAAAGGTATGCATGCAGATTCATCAGTTTGCATCCTTGGTGGTGCCATGTAGGTAACGGACAAAGCCCAGGTACGTGCCACCGGCCCAATTGATTCGTTGACTCATCAGCCTGTGAAAGGACGGAAACGCCATGGAGGTGTCAGGTTTGGCGAGATGGAAAGAGACGCTCTTATCGCTCATGGTGCTACAGCGTTGCTGCAAGATAGACTCCTCCACGTAAGAACTTGACTTTTTTTTGCGGGTTCGGCCTTCATGTCTGTTTGAACTTTGTAGGCCTTCTTTTTAGTCGTACTGGTGGGGTCCTTGTTTGTTTTGTTGGTTCCGCAGTGTTCAGACGCGCACCGTGCATTTTGCTGCCCATGTTGTGGTAGCATCTTATCTCCGTTTCAGTCTTCCGATATGAAGGGGCGTTCAGTTGGTGGAAGAAAACCGGTCCCCCTTTGCCGCATCTGTGGCGTGCCTTGCCGTCTTGTACAGCTTCCCTACATATTTCGGTGAGTACCATGTATGTAGAACAGAAGCAGCAGTTTCACGTAGCTTGCTGATGCATATGCTGCACACCAGCTGTGAATAAGGAGATGTTCCACATGTGTTTGGAGTGCAGCTACTTATCAAATGAGTTAGCCTCAATGAATGTAACGGTCCGTCTCGAGCTAGATCACTTGGGATAAACGATCAAGACCAAGCAATAAGACCAATTGTAATATATTGCCCCCGTGGACATGGACAAGCTGAATCCCAAAGCACCCTGCCAACAAGATGATCGGAGCCTTAAAGCGGCCAAGGAGACGCGCATTATATCCAAGCAGGATTGGGTTGGAGTTCAGTAGGCTTTGAGGCTGGTTTGCTGTTGCGTAGAGGTCTTTGCGCCAGTGTTTGCTTGTTTTGTTCATCAAAGGAACACTTCTACACTTTTCGTTTGCTTCATGCTAAAGGTCGACTCATTCTTCGCGTGTAATCTGCGCTGCTGGCACTGTAATCAAATTATTTGAGCAGTGGAGGATACAATGAGTTGCTCAGTGGAAAATTTCTGTTCTAGTTGTAACTGGGCCGTCTCTAGTCCACCCAATTTGAAAGACTCGAGCATTCGAAAAAATCGAGAAACCTTTCTCCGACACGATCTTCCCCTGTTGATGCTGGGGTACAGTTTATGGCCCAAAACCGTCCCAATTGAAGTTGCAACACAAGGCATCACGCACAGCACAGAATTGAAGCGGCTTAGCTTTTTTTTCCCGCGGTGTTGGGAACAACATACACTTTATACATTACTGAGGAAATCCCCCAAATGGCTTTTGACGAGTGAATGGTGGATGCTGCGTGGCTGACAGTGAAGGGTAGGATGTTATTTTCCCGAGATAGCAGTGTCTTCACTTTTAGGTTTCATTGCCGTTCTGACTAGATTATCCGTCACCAATGCTACCGATAATAAAGGCGTGCCTTGAAGCCACACAAAAGGGCTCGAGACTTTACAAGAGGACGGTGAGGTGCAGAAGCTCTTGCTTCGACGAGTCGAGTACGGCTGGAACAGCTGCTGTACGGGACGAAAGGTCACAGATAGTACCATGAGTTCTCCTTGAAGCGTGGGAGAGTCATGACTAACGCCTGGAGCTTTCTTAAAATCAGCGGTCAATGACGCACGGACATGCGTGAGATCTGGTGGCTCGGGAGAGACTACCGGACATATCATGACGTTGGAGGATGCGACAAATTATGCGTGTGTAGCATGAGGACGAGTTTAGGAAATGCGCTTTTATTATCTATGCTGTTCTGTAGGCCGAGGCGCGCAAACCTGGAAGTGCATAATGTGACACCCAGCGAATGCCCGACGCCACCTTCCCATATTTGTCTAGAGGACGGCCCAGCTAGCTCGGACCCAACGCAGAAAAGGAGGAGGCCCAGCCCTAGAAAGCTGCCTTAACTAAGTAAAAAGGTGACGCGCAAAAGAAAATAAATCAACTTCTCCGAGTTTCATAATCAGCAGCATGAGCCGCTAGTGCCGCTGATAATGGTCTGGGTCACTCGGTCAGCGAAAGCACGGATGGGTCATCCCTCAGGCCTGCGTTTATTCCAACGCATTCAGCAAATACTTATTTTGCGATTGTCTGCAATATCTGAAAGATACATTTACGCAACAATTTAAACCGTTCAAACTGAACTCATTTCAAGGCTTGCGTGCCGCCCTTCGTGCTGGTCATTCTGCTCATGGACAGCTGGCAAACAAACCCATCGACGAAGCTTGACAGCCAGACGAGCCACAGTTACACACATTTGAATACAAAGACCTACACATTTGATGTTTTTGTCTTGTTGCAATTTTTCTTTTTCAGATCGCCGCCTGCTTGGTGACACAAGCGGTGCGGTGATTCCTGCTGGGTCTCTCTGCTCGTCGTCTCATGAACCTTCCGAGAGACTTTTGCGGAGTGGTCTATGTAATGAGTAATATTGTTCATCTCAGCGTAAACAAGCAGTTTGTGGCTTACGTGGCAACTTGCACCCAAAACTCTCAAATCATTGCTGAGACTTGTTGGGACCTCAAACCGACGGTGGCGCTAGGTTAAAAGAGTAGCCGGGAACCGTTCTAGCTCAACCGCCATGAAAGCAACTTGCAATCAGCAGACAAAACGCCGCTTCAGGCATTCAGATGTTCAGCCAATGGAAACAGGATTCGAAAGATATGTTAGGCTTTTAGGACTGGACCTATCCGAGTACTTTTACCCCTTCGAAAACAATATTGATTTCGAAGAGCCACCGACTGACGACAAAAGCACCCCACCGAAACACCAAATGGAAGACCGGCAGATTCATTCTGTGCCCCCAACCCCGCCTTCTACTCCATCGAACAGGACTGAGGGCGGCCTGTCTACTTTGGGACCCGCAAGGGATCCAAGGCCTGCAACAGTGTCCTGCAGGACCTGGAAGCAACTCAAGAAAATCATAGAACGCCAGAAGAAAGTAGCCGAGGCTACAGAACCCAATCGCGCAATCGCGATTGCACCTGAAGAGAGCTGTGGGGACGGTGTACCTAATCAGAAATCCAATAAAAAAGAAGAGCCCGAAGTCAACAACAAAGAAGAGCCCGAAGTCAATAACAAAGAAGAGCCCGAAGTCAACAGCAAAAAAGAGCCTGAAGTCAATAACAAAAAAGAGCCCGAAGTCAATAACAAAGAAGAACTCGAAGGCAATAACAAAGAAGAGCTCGAAGTCAATAACAAAGAAGAGCCCGAAGTCAATAGCAAAAAAGAGCCCGAAGTCACTAACGAAGAAAAGCCCGAAACGAATCATCGTTGCGAGGAAATACAAAACTCGCATTTAGAAGACTTCAAACGCTCACCTGATGCTTCCAAGGCAGAAGAATTCTCGCCGCCCAAAACATGCTTTTCGAGATCCGTTCAACAACGCTCCTGCAATTTTAAGGCGTCGAACACACTAAAAGACCAGAAGGAAGCGCCCACATCCAAGAAGAATGCTGTGAGCTGGTACCCTGTGGCAGAGGTTGTGACTGTCGAGACCGAAAGTCCAACAACAACCCATCCAGTCGACATCAGCACTGCCGGGCTCGTTGAGAAATCCACGCTAAGATCTTGTAGGCGCATCATGAATCGTCAGAGTCCTGCGATTGGTAGCGGCTCAAGCAGCTCTCGAGATTTGCTCAAGGACTAAATTTCTTTGAGAAGTCACCTTGTCTGGCGTGTCTACAAATAGTTCCAAAAACATTGATGATTTTAGAAGAGCTTTCAAGCAATGTGTGAGCTGCGAAATTCCACTTGACAAAGCTGCTCTTTCTCCTAAAGGGTTGCCTCAAGCCTCAGCAAATTTTGAAGATGACCATGGTATCATTCAGTAAATACAGCTGGAACTGCTGGACGACAATTCAAATACTCCTAGAGCCTGGTACAGCCATTAGAATCGCTTCACCAGTCAAGATGCGAAGCAGGAAGTCTGAAACTCACGGGCAACCTGCAGTGGGTGTGACTGCCTGGTCCCTCATGAGAACGCCCGTTTTGTCACGAAGAAAACTTCGGAGAGCTGCTGAGCATCGCCGAAGACGATGATTATTATCTGCAGCTACAACGACAGAAACCAACGAGGCCACTGGATAAGAAGCTTATTCACGTGAAGCGACGCCCCTCCGCAGATTTCTCGACAGTGGCTGCGGCCAAGCAGTATTAGAACAGCAGCGTTCAGTACAGTGCTTGTAGGCATTTGGATAAGATATGAGCGGAGAACTTGCAGAGCCATCTAGCTCTCAGCTATCTCCACATCGAGCTACCGAGTCGTCAAGCAGCCATGCGCTAGGGCCACCAGTATTCTGTTCTACAAGGACAATGCGCCAAAGTGGCAAAGCCTCGCGAACCCACAAGCGCTACAGCCCTTGTAATAATGTCTATTTATCGCGAGCTACTATTTTATGTTCGCCAAGACAAAACACCTAGAATTTAAGAAATTTAACTTTGCATTCACTGGCCAGCTCAGCCTAAGGCATTGCACAGCTTCGCAGTAACTCGACAATGTTAACTAACCCTCGTGTGAATTGGATTCTGAGAGTAGTCCGTAAATCCAAGCAGAGCTGAGATAAACTTAATGCAGTTCATCTGGAGACGAGTAGTTACTGAGCATTTATACACTAGATGAATCTCCGCAGTACCTGCTCACGTACTCACATCGTTAATTACGTCTTTCGGAAACAAGTGTGACACTTAATAGATACAAAGACGCATCAATTCAGCAGGTGACACGGATGCCACGGATCTTTTGCAAATGCCCTAGCCGCCGAGCTTTCCCTGTGTTTCTGCCATTTCATTTTCTGTAGCCTTTGAGACTGCTCCTTTTTTTCAATCATGTCCCGAGGTGACGTCATACTATCGACTGCGTCCTTCGAGCAGCCGAGCTGCAAAGTAAGAGGGTAGCGAACACACTCGGCTGCTGTGTGGCCTGGGTGACAACAGCGCGGGCAGTGAGACACCCCGTGCTGCAGCGGCGAAGCTCGGCAATTCGCATGCCCCATGTTTCCGCACACGATGCACTGAACTGCATACAAGCTACGGCGTTTCGCACTCTTGTTGGATCCTGATTTGCTGCCGCTCTTCGTGCTGATGCTGGAAGTCTCAAGGCTTTCAGCGGGAAACCGTCCTTTGTCTGGGATCAATCTACGCTTGGCTTGCTCGGTTCTCTCCTGTATATGCGCTGTTAAGCACCCTCTTATACTGAGGTCAACGAAGTATATGGGGCAATCTTCGGTGTCGTGGCCTTTTCCGCCACAACACAGGCAGAGGACACCGGACAGGGGGCAACTGGTTGATTCATGACCTTCCTCAAAACACGAAAAGCATACTGGCACTGCGCCATGTGGTTGTGAAAGCGATGACTCAGTCGTTAACATATCGAGCGTCGGGACAATAGACTCTGAGGAGTAATGGTTCTGGTTTCTTCGCCTTCTAGCGTCAATATTACTTGCCATCCTCTTACCGACCCACGTAAAACAGAGTCTCTTGTTCGCA